ATAAGATGTTTAACTAAGTCTTTATTGACAAATAATTGAAATACATCAAAAATATATTGGTTACAATGACGAGAAATTGCGTTCTTCACTTATATCGATGATATTACTTGTCTACTTTGAGAGTTTGCTTCAAGAATGGGAGCAACTTTTCAAAACTACCTCCTTTAGCCTGTATGGCTCAAGGTGATTTAAGGAGAATAAAATGACCTGGTATGACTTAAGCGTCGCCTTTTCCTTGTGGTCCGTTTGTGATTGTTTGATGGAGTGGTGATCTGTCGCCTCTTCTTGGGGCTGAGCCGAGTTCGAATTCAGTCGGTGACGCTTATGAAACTGTAAGGGAAGCTGGAAGCTACACATTCGTCAGGATGGAAAAGCCTGTTGATAGGCAAAATTAAGTAAAGTGTGGAACAGAAAATTGGTCAAGCTGATTGATGTCACTCTTCACTTTGACAAAATGTAACTCTGTGCTTTCAATGAAGACCCTCACTGACGATGGCGGCGAAAATTTTGGAAATGTACCCAGCCAATGGCCCAGGGCTGAAATCACGAATATTCTGGAAGAAAACACACGACCAGGTACATTCCACAATGCCTCCCTGACGCCCTGACCAAGTTGCGAAAGCGATGTCGAAGCAAAACTATTAAGCTAAAGGAGACCGCAAGCAAACAGCCGGTCACACACTATCTTGGTCGTTATAGCAACATAAATATTAAAACTCGAAGATATCAAGGGCAAGATGGTGTAGCCCTTTGTATGGTCTCGGTGCCTCTTCGTCTTTAAAGAGTTGTTTGACCTTATTTTTCCAACCTCATCGTATCATTAGAGAGGCCTATGATAGTTACAATGAACTCCGGAGAAGATGTGTTTCTCTAGTCCCACGTGATAACACGATAAAGTTGCGAAAATGAGGTTGAGCAGCTTCCTTTAAACAGAGTAGTTTAGAGATGGACTGACCTCGTTTTCGCAACTCGTTCGTGTCGTCACGGCGACTAGGTTGGACACATCTTGTCCCAAATCCTCTGCTCTCGTAGTTAGCATCATTGTCCGTGTCAGACGGTGGAATTGGTAGACTCGTTTCGCCGGCATCGTTAGTGAGTCTTGCCATGCTCAGCTACAACTCGTGAAAGAGGCAAGTGAAGTCACTCTCTTGACCGCCCACCCCCCTCTTGTCGCACTCCCGCCCGGTCACAATCTCTGACCTGGTTACATTCCACACGTCAAAAGGTGTGTCCTTTTTGGCCAGTCTCTTCGGCAGGTACTTCCATGCGAAATGAAAGTCTTCACAGCAATCGCTCGAGGTGACAGAGAACTGGAAGGTGAATTTCTCCCACGGCGCTCTGAGCGACCCTTCAGTCTCCAACCCATTTCACATGGCCTTGTTGCCCAAAAGCTATTGTTGTCATGCCGACTCAGGTGGACTGCAGTCTCTGCTTCTTCTGACTTAGCGACAGGACTCGAACCCGAGTTGTGCTGGTTGAATGTACATATTCTCGACACGTCGACCACTACGCCACAATGCCACGAGTGCACGAGTTGGCTTATGTGATGGCGGATGTGAACTTCAACGACAGCCATACCCTTCGGAGAGCAAAAGTCTGCACAGCAAGTGGCAATGAAACAAAGTTGCATTTGCTTGGGAAAATTGAGCTACCAGTTCTTGATCAGCTCAAAGCAAACGAGTTGAATACAGCTCGTTTAACCCGTCTACGGACAGTCTGAGGAGACGGCTTTGGGAACAGAAAATATCAACACGCCCAGTCGACTGGACAATAAGGACTACTTATTTCTTATGTAAGTAGTGTTTCGAGACTCATATTACTTATTGCGCAAATATTTGGACTTCCCACGGGAGCGCCGCTTTCATCGCTATCGGCAACTGTTTGCATGAACCAATTAGAAGAGATGTCCTCGCAGCAAGTGGGAGCGCTCATGCGGAACCTGAATGATTGTTTAGTACTTTGGTCACATGAAAGAGAAAAACTGGAGGATTTTCTAAAGTGAAAAAATCACATTAACAACGGAAGAAGAGGATGTTGAAGTGGTTCGCCCTGTTAAGACATTCGAGAAGAATTGTTGGGGGGACTTTAATTTCGTATGAAAGGGCATAAAGAAGAGATTCATACTTCGAGCTCACCAGAAGAGGACGGATGAATCGCGTTGTACTGCAGCCGTTTTGCCTTCATACGACATTCAGATCAAAGCCAAACGGTTGCAGTAGAACGGGATTCATTCGTCCTCTTCCGGTGAGATCGACCCATGAATCTCTTCTTCATGCACTTTCATACGAAATAAAAGTCCCATCAACAATGTTGTCTCAAGAGATTCATCGAAACCCAGTTTCTTTTCGTAACTCCAGAAGAAATTCTTCACAAAAAAGCATATGCTGGGCTAATACCCAATTTCCAGTCCCATCATAACTGGGGGCTAAAGATAGCAATGACGAAAAATATGACCTTTAGAAGTCTACCATCGACGGACGTGGAATACTGGGCTGAAGAGTTGGACAAATCGACTGGAATATGCCTCGGCAACAGAAATCCCAGAAAAGCAACATCAAGAAATATACAAAGAGTGAAAAGCGGATGGAAGGACGGGGCCACGAATGAAGAGTGAAGATTAAGAAACACTCACAAAAGTGTATATGCCTAGCTTCGTACGAACAAAGCCCAAAGCGACGGCCAATGCTCAAAAAATGGGATATTCAGGTGACCCTGAAGGAGAAAGCAATTCTCCCAGCGACGTTTGGCGACGTAACATGAAAGAGTGGACAAATCGGCGTCTGGAAAGAGCAATGTCTCGGCGAAGCAGCGGGCGGTGAGGCCGCAAGACTGGCGAGACGGATCACGATAAGCGTGCCAGAACGTCGGCATTATGGGCAAAGTGACCAGAAATCCGGTCGAGAGGCAGCAGGTGAGTGGAAAGAGACACGAACAGACTGTTCAAGGAATACGAGCAGAATGGACGAGAGGACCGGGCGAGAGGATGCTTGATGCCGGCGAGCATGGGAATCACAGGCAAGGCGCTCTGCTCGGTGAGGCGACCGTGTACGTGGCCAGGAACGGATCTGCGAGCCGATCAGACAGATCCGGATGGGCGGTCCGAGTCGGATCGGCAAATCGAGAGGGAGGGTGTGTAAGGTACATAACGGGTGTGGTGACGCCACACTAAACGAGCCAAAAAGGACGCACCTTTGACATGTGAAATGTAGACAGATCAGAAATTGTGATCGGGCGGGGGTGCGACAAGAGGGGGGGGTGGATAGATGGCAAAGGACAGAAAGTGGAGTGACAGTCACAAGAGAGTGACTTCACTTGGCTCTTTCACGAGTCGTAGCTGAGCACGGCAAGATTCACTGACGAATGTACCAATTCCACCGTCTGACACGGGCAATGATGCCAACTACGAGAGCAGACGACTTCGGACAAGATGTGTCCAACCTAGTCGCCGTGACGACAAGAACAAGTTGCGAAAACGAGGTCGGACTAGTTCTATACAGCGATAAGCGATTGCGACCGAACAGAGCCACTACATATTAATCCTGATAACTAAACAATTTTTTAAGTTGTTTGACCTCACAAAGCATTTTTTAAAGGTGAAGTATATGCTACTCATATATAGAGTTAGTAGCTGAAAAATAAAGATTATGCTCAAATTAGATATTAAATGAAATTAAAAATTGATTATTCGAAGGTATGAAGACTAAGATGGTGTGGCTTTTTGTGTGGTCGCAGTCTTCTTTCGTTGTATACAAGTTGTTTGACCTTGTGTTCGCAACTTGGTCCTATTTGTTGGAAGACTTAGAGGAACGCACTTTGTGCGGGGTCCATTGTATGCACCATCATTTCCAGAATAGGACCGTGGACGTGGTACATTCCTAGACGTTTCGCCGGCATCATCAGTGAGTCTCACCGTTCGTAGCACCATACAACAACTCTTCAACATGTCTCTTTGACGAGTTGTTGTATGGTGCTAAGAATAGCGATGCCGGCGAAACGTCTGGGAATGTACCACGTCCACGGTCCGACCTTGGAAATGATGATGCATACAATGGACTCCGGACAAGATGCGTTCCTCTACGTCTTCCAACCAATAGGACCAAGTTGCGAATGCAAGGTCAAACAACTTGTATACAACGATAAACCAATTTTTAATTTCATTTTATCTCAAATCTGAGCAGAATCTTTATCTTTCGGCTACTTACTCTATCTATGAGTAGCATGTACTTCACCTTTAAAAAAATGCTTAATGCACATGTGCATTGCTGGTTACAGTCAACAGTTGAGGAACGCTTCATGGACGAGGCAAGACGGACAGTGAAATTTGTTATCTCATGCATATTAAGACCAAAATGTGTGTTTAATCGGAGTCTCTTTTAGCTGTACAGTGTCGTGTTGTTTTGATCTCGTTTTACCAACTTGGTCGGACCGATTGAGCGACTTTGATAAATGCACTTCGGCCAGGCGTGTCGCCGTTTGCTTTGCAAACGGTATCTGAAACCGGTGGTGAAGGTGATTTTGCTTCATTAACTCCACTCGGGGCGACACATTCTGAGGCGATGTTGGAGGAGACGGGAAGACAGAATGGACGAT